TAGGCATTCACATTGCCCTTGATACAGAGTTTGGCACTTTCGTGAGCAGAGCCTGGGGGCCAGTGAGGCGGTTCTGACAGTGTACATGGTGAGATCAGGGAAAGCTCGCAAATCAGTGATCTTTCCCTCCTCATTTCAGAAGGACTCATTGGGGTAGGGACTTTCAACCTGCTCTCCCTCATTTCAACAATCCTTTGGGATGCGATGATCTTCATCTCATGTTATTGATGAGAACATTGTACTAAGGTTCTCTAGAGAAACAAAACCAACAGCATGTGTGTGTGTGTGCGTGCATGCAGGCAGATGGATAGATGGGTTTATTTTAAGAAATTGGCTCATGGGGCGCCTGAGTGGCACAGTCAGTTAAGTGCTGCCTTCGGCTCAGGTCATGATCCCAGGGTCCTGGGATTGAGTGCTGCAGCAGGCTTCCGGCTCAGCGGGGAACCTTCTTCTCCCTCTGCCTGCTGCTCTCCCTGCTTGTGCTCTCTCCCTCTCCAACCCTGCCATAAATAAATAAGTAAGTAAATAAATAAATAAATAAAATCTTAAAAAAAAAAAAAAAGGCAATTGGCTCATGCAATTGTGGAGGGTTGAGAAGTACAAAATCTGATGGGGAAGCTGGCAGGCTGATGCCCCAAGGAAGACCTGCAGTTCAAGTCTGAAGGCCATCTGCTGGCAGAAGCCTGGAGATCAATCTTTATTCTGTTAAGGCCTTCCACTGATTGGTTGAGGCCCACGACATTAGGGAGGTTCCCCAATTTAATTGTTAATCTCAGCCTAAAACATCCTTATAGGGCATCTGGAATAATGGTCAACCAAATATCTGGGCATTGTGCCTGAGCCAAGTTGACACATAAAATTAACCATCACAAACACTAATCTTTGGAGAGTTACCTGCCATGCTGAGATCACACAGTATTGAGAAGCACGGCTGGGGATTTAACCAAGGTCTCTGATTCTAAAGAGTTCGTTTCATGATCTTCTGTAGCCCATGTCAGTAAATCAGGGAAAGCAGCATGTTATACATAGAGAGCCTCATCTTGATGAGATGTCCTGTTCACTGGCTTCTCACTCATTCTCCAAAAGGTCTTCATTAAGTGCCACTAAGGTCTGTGCATTATAGACTGGGAGTGAGCAAGGAAGGACCTTTGTGAAGCCTAATTCTCCCCTTGAATAGGCTGCGTCTTGGAAGTGTGTGATTGACTCTGGAAGCCAAGGCAAGTTCGGTGAACTATTTGAGGATACTCAGTGAAGAGGCAGACTTTTCCAGATGAGTGGTGTGCTATACAGAGCTTACTGTGTGTTCAGGGAACATGTCTGGAACATGATGATGACTGATGGGTGAAGGATGATGGGGCTCCCTACCTGGTAGTCTTGAGAATAGGAGACACTTCCCTACCTTAGGGCTTTATGGGGTGGGGGATAGGGTACTGAGTGAATCACATGACCTTGGAAAGGCCCTTCCCACTTGATGAACTCCTCGGGGCTCAGCAGCCTCAAAAACAGCTCCTTGATACTGAAATCCACACGTTTTATGAGCTTCCTTTGCTCCTTTCCCCAACAGAATGTGAGTAAGCTCACCTGGGGAGGGATAGACTCCCTTCTCCTAGACCTGGAATATTCCATTACACAGCCTCATTTCTCCTGTTCCCACGCACCACAGCTGAGTGTCTGGCCCTATCCCACCTCATCTGTAATTCCTTCCTTTCTCTCTCTGTGCGTGGAATGAGTTAATGAGGATATTGTAAAAGGAGTTATTTCTAAAAGCAGTTAATGAGGATATTCTATTTCTCATTAGGTCTGCCACTTCATTTCTATTTGGACTGCTGCTGCTCATTTCCATGAATTATACTACATCTTCTTATGACTGTAGACAATTCAATTGACCTATGATATGATTTTCAAGGGAGAATGGTCACATCATAGCTCCTGATACTAGAAATGAGTCAGTCATAAAAGTCTCTTATGCCTGAGGAACTTTTCTGCATCTTTTAAAAAACAGTAATAATTAAAAATACATACCATTTATTTAATCATTGCCACATGCTGGGCAATATGACAATAAATAGCTGGAAAAGTGAGATCAAAGTTGAGAAGAAAATGGTGGTTGGCATATACATTTAGTTGTAGAAACAGTGGTTGACTTTCCCCAAGAACTTGTGGTGGAATTCACAACAAAAGATGAAATCATAGGACAGTCTGTGACTCTCAGAAGGACAGCTGCTGACAGATTCTAGGGGAACACCAACATCTAGATGAAGGAAGAGAAACCACACAAGGAAGTCAAAGTGATGGGAAGATGTCCCTGAGAGAAAGGAGCTTCAAGAAAAGGGTGGCATAAGCATTTTAAAGGATGTGGGAATGAAGAGGGACAGGACGGATTCATAGAAAAGGTCATTGACTTAAGAAAGAGCGATTGCAGGGATCCAGGGCAGGATGCCAGAAGGGAGCTGAAAGGGGAAGGGGATCTGGGAACTTAATTCCCTAGTGGACTGTGGCACTTTCCAGTTTCAGAATTTACTTGCGAACTGCTTCATTTAGGTTGAAATAAGTAGAGTTCATCTCAGCTTAGTAGGAATACAGATTCTTCATTATACATTTCTGTTGTGATCTTAGAAAGATGCTGTGGAAAATCCACAGAATCAGAGTCAAGAGGAACTAGGTTAGCATTCAAGGTACCTTATTTGCTGACTGTGTGACCTTGGGCAGGACACTTATCAGATCTGGCTTTTCTTATATGTAAAAAAAAAATGGAGGCCATAGTGATAGCTCCCTGAATTGTGAAGTTCAGAGGAGATATATGTGTATAGGCTTTGAAAACTATAAAGAATTATGCCAGTGCAAAGTTTCATGTTAAAAATAATCATCCCTATAAGCTAATGTTTTTATTTGGGAATTGTCCCAATATTATATCTCGGTGAACTGATCGAGATGCATCTGGTAAGATTATACTTGGCTGTAAACAATGGAAGACTCAACTCTAATTTAAACACATACACATTTATTTTTCTCACCTAACAAGAAGTCAGAGGAAGGCACAGCCATTTACGGATGTCCTCTAGGGCCTCAACTCCTTCTACCATCCTGCACTCAACAAAAGTGAGTGACTTTTGTTCTCAAGGCTACAGGATGGCTGCTGTGTCTCCAGGCATGATATCCATGTTCCAAAAGAGAAGAAATGGTGGAAGGAGGAATACGGAGCATCAAAGGGTTGAAGGGGCATGCCATCTGAATCTGATCTTTTCTTAAAGAGCTTTTCTGGAAGCTAACTCTTGCCTTCTGCATGCCAACCTCACTGGCCAGAACTGGGTTTCCTAGCTATCCCTAGCTACCACGGAGTCCGGAGTGGTGAGTATTGTAGACTTCTGGTTTCTTTAGTTGTGGAAGGCTAGGGACAAGGAGCCTGTCAATGGCTTCAGGAAGTCAATTTTTAATGTCTACTACAGAGCCCAGTTCATCTTGCCAGTGGAGCCTTAATGTGAGGAAGGGGATGGAGGGAGATGGCAGTGGGATATATTGCTCAGGAGGGCAAACTGACAGTGACCAAACAGCAGGGCTGTAGGCCCTCTGTGGCTTGGACCTAAACATTTTGGCTGTCCCCCACCAAGAGGCTCAGACCCAAGACTTGGCTCCTTCTGGCAATCAGCCCTAACCAGCTCCTGCCAAAGGGGTAAACACATTCCAACTCCTTGAATCCCTGCTGCACTGTAACTGTGGTTAAGACATCCCCCCACTTCTACCCATCTGGGCTAATGGAAAGTTCACCAGAGTTGTGTTTTTTTTAGTGATGCTTTGCGGTTATCTGTGCTCCTTCCCATTAACAGGGAGTTGAATACATACACATTTCTGTTATCGAACTACCCGAGCAATTTATATAATCATGTGTATCACGTTTATGTTTATTCTCCAGTCTGTAGGAATCATGAAAGATAAAGCATTATGCCTCCTTTTCTCTTCTTGAAAGATGGCAGTGAAGCCAAACCCTTTTCTTAAGTCCCTTTAGCTGGGTGGAGGGACAGGTGACTGCTGGAACCCAGTCCTAAACACCTAGAAAATTCTGCAAGAGTCATCACCTAGTGTGGGCACCCTTGCTTGCACACTCCTGGGATTGGGGGATGGGGTAGAGAGATCAAACACTCACCCTGACAATGGTGCCAATCATGGAAGACACGTTTGCTCTTGACCGAGGTGATTTCCAGTGGAGTCAAAGAGATGGATCACAATCACTTTTAAGACAAAAAAATTAAAGGTAATTTTAAAAACTATGAATAAGAGCTATTGTAAACGGCTCAAACTCTGTATAGCAGTGAAGTAAGATGAATTGACTGGCACTGAGTTGGAAAAGCTATACAGAGGCAGGGAGTGTGGAACGTAATTTAATAAAAATAAACTTTTTTTTTTATATATACGTACACACTCCCGAAGAAGAAATGGAAAAGTTGTTAGGGTGTGGACCAGGGCTTCTAATTAGCTGTTCTGGTCTGCCTCGTTTGTCTCCGTCCTTGCCCCAGCACCTTCCTGGGACTTGTGGTCGCCCCTGGAGGGGCACTTTGGGGAACGAGAGGCATCCCCCGGCACCTGACCCCTGCAGCCGGCTCAGACCTCTCGCCCCTTCCCCAGGGGAGGAGAGGCCCCAAACCCCGCTGCCCAGGTCGCCACTCTTGCCTCCTTGACCCTCACTTGTTTCCCAAACAGAGGGAGCCCCGAGAAGGCTCCTTGCCAAAGTTGGAAACAGCTACCCTCATTGTCTGCCTCGCCCTGCCGGCCGCGCTCGCCCTTCCTCCCTCCCCTCCTTTCTGTCTGAAAGTGTGAAAATTACAAATCCCAAGGAGCTGCAAACAGAACTCTACCTAGGGAACATTCAGAGTATCCTTGCCATAAATATCCCGCTCCAAGACGCCTGACGTCAGAGTGGGGCGGGCGGGGGCGCGGGCCGGCCGGGCGGGGAGCCGCGCCGCCCGCTCTCGGAGCCCGGGGGCGCCCAGAGGAGCCAGGGCGAGCGGCGGCCGGCGGCGGCGGCAGCGGCGGCGCGGCGGCTTCGGGGCTGCGGGGAGCGGCGGCCGCGCCATGGGGTCCTCGGAGTAAGTGCGCGGCCCTGCCTCTGCCCCGCTTCGCGCCGCGGGGCGGGCGGGGCGGCGGGCGCTTTCTGCCGGCACCTCCACACTTCTTTTCCAACACCCCCCACCCCCCAACCCCGCTTTCTTTGCAGTGCTGAAAGGGGACCGGAGAGGCGGCCGCTCCGCAGGCTGCCTGTTTTGTTTCTGCAAAGTGTTTGCAGGAGCCACCGGTCCAGGAGTGGGCTCCCGGGGCCTGTGTGCGTGTCTGTGCGCCCACGGGTGTGATTCGCGTGTGTGTCTGTGTCTGTGTATTGGCACATCTGGACACAGGAAATGTCTTTGGGAAACTTAGAAAAAAAATTTTCGTGGCTTTGAAATCTGATTCCTTGTTGTCACAAGTGGACGAACATAGCCACATAGCCGGTAACCCCGAAGCGGACAACTTTTTGATGGTGGCTTTTTCCCCCGCTCAGCTTGTGACTTCGTTCCGGTGATTTAACTCTTCCCCAGCCCCAGCTCCCACTCGAAAGGCTGGCCTCTGGCCAGCAGGCAGGGCAGAGGCAGCGGGAGGGTCTTGCTCGCAGCCACAGTGGGACCTGGGGTGAGGGAAGGAGCATCCCAGAAAAGGGGTCCTGACTCTGGGGACCTCAGCACCTGCGGCTGCCGTCCAGCCTCCTGCTGTGGCCCTGACATCACCAGGCAATGGGACTTTGACTTAACAGAGGAAGGAAGGATCCGGGCTGGAGGCAGGTAATTGTAAGGAGGATGAGGAGGCGGAGGCGGTGGTGGTCGGGACACTTCAGTGCGGTGGCCAGTCCTGCCCCAGGAGTGGGAGGGATGCGTCTGCCACATGGGCCCACAGGGAGGGATGTGCCCGGTTCTGGAGGAGCCGCGGTGCCCCAAACAAGATGCAAGCTCCTAACATAAAGAGACATGTCTGAACTGTGGGGTGGAGGAAGGGGGGTAGTGGGGGAGAGGGAGAGAGATTTTTATCAAAATTGAACACAGATTGCGGAGGTCTGGGCTTGATTTAACTCTTCTCTCTCTGCCTTAGCCACTTTTCCACCTCTCTGGTGGATTTGCAGAGTTCCTGGGAAGGTAGGAAGGAAAATTACACCTCTCCAGGAAAGAGTCCCTGGAGGTTTTCCTTGAAATCTACATGGGAATGAAAGCAACTTCCCATCTTTCAAGAGTTTAGTTTTGTGTTTCCCCTCTTCCGGGTTTAGTGTCAGTTTCTTGGATTTCTCTGAAGAGTGGGCTGCTGGAGGGAGTGGATTTTCCCTAGGAAGCAGAGGGGGATTGTGCTCTCAGAGCCAGTGGCTAGGCATTGGCTAGCCCTGGATGGCCCCAGGTATGGTGCTGGATGTCAGTAGTTGGGCCCAAGAACCAAGGACCACGAAGAGAGCCCTTTCACTTTGCCCTCACTCAGTCTCTGGTTTTATATTTTGCAAGAGAGCCAACCTACAATGTTTGGGTGGGAGGAAGATTGCCGGACTCTCCCCGTGTCCTAGGAAAATGAGGGATTGAAGGGACAGGGAGGTCATCTGGATATAAAAACGGACCCACAGGAAGTTCGAGATTCGGGGTAGATTTTAGCAATTATACAAATTGACCCCTGCGGAAGTGCCGTAAAGGACTGAGCAGACAGCAATGTCAGAAAGACTCATTTCACTTCAGAAGTTGTGTCTTCAACTTAAATGTCATGAAGAAGAGGGAAACCATTCCGAGGGCAGTGTAAACAAAAGTGCGTGTAAGCAGGGGTCATTGGGTACCACGAGATGCACGTGCAGGCACATGTTTATGCCTTCGTGACTGTGCGGGGATGGTCCTGGCCTCAGGCATGAAAGCACAAACAGCCCATTTCTCTTCTGTTCTGGGAGCTGCAGCCGACTCCCGTTTCTTCCTTTACCAAAAACAACTGTGCTATTATTGTCTTGCTGCCTGCTTCTGTTGCCTGCTCTGGCTCCTAACTCCCGAGTTTCCAGAGCTTTTCCTCCAGATCCTGGGATGCTGAGCGAATACTCGTGCCCCCCACAGGACAGAAAGAGGAAACTTCTCCTGGGCCTTAGCCCTCAGAAGAAAGTCAGGAGTTCAGGAAGCGGGAGGCAGAGAGGGCAGGACCAGTAGGAAGGCCTGTGAATGTGTTTTCTTTTGGTGAGTGTGGGGGAGGTTGAAAGCCTACTGCTTTCTGTGGGAACATGTTCTCTCCCCAGTCTGCTTTCCCACCCCCCCACCCTTAGAGTCCTCAAAACTAAACAGGTTAAACTCTGCCTTTCACTGAAGAGAGTTGGACACAGGGGTAAAGAAGGGGGTGAGCCTAAGGGCAGGTGGTTGGGAGGCTACAAAGATAATCAACGAGGCAGAGGCTTGTTTCTTTGATTTTAGTGGAGCCAGTGGAAATACCAATTTTAAATGTTCCCACCCATTCCCGCTATGTGCAAATAGAAGGCTGAAGACTCAGGGACATGGGGGACGTGGAGCCGGCGGCTCTGAGAAATACTCTCGTCCCTGTGCAGGAACCCTCAGGGAGAGCCGAGGGCAAGAACTGCGCTGGCAACTCTTCCCTCATGTCGGCTTTCTCTGGCGGGTTCGTGGGGTTCTAACCTTTCTGGGTTTGCTCTGGGAGATGTTTCGCCAACTACAGACCCAGGTTGAGTTCCCAGACCACTGGCGCTTGGGCTGATCTCATTGCCTCTTCTGTCAGCTCCAGCTTCTGGCCGGTTCTTGGGTCATCTTGGAGATCGGCATACTTAGAGAGGATGGAACTCAGGCTCTTTCCCGAAGGTCCCAAGGGCAGACACACCTGGCAGGCAGAACAACTTGGCTTTGATAACAGAGGAGCCTCCACAGCCTGAGTCTCTATGGTTTGGGGATCCTGCGTCCTTCAGCCCTGGACTTCAGATACACCCTGGGATAGCAGAGAGAGTGCAGATCTCAGAGCAGACGGCCCTGGGAGAGAATTAGGAACCTGAGGTAGATAGTACTTACTCCTTCTGAGCCTCAGCTTCCTCATCTGTAAAATGGGATAATGACCTCACAAGGTTATTGCAAAAATAGCATTTGTGCAAAAGGACTAAGAACAAACTAACGATGTCATAGGTACTTAATGAAGGGAAGAGCATAATGTTATTTCTTCATTTTTCAGCCATCAGGAATCCATGTTTTTTGGAAAGGACCTCTCCCCAAACCTGGCTACATGTTTTCCATTATTAAAAGCCAATAGGTGGCAGTCCCAGGGCTCTGGTCACCCTTATTTCCTCCCTATAGAGAAGGTGACCAGTGGGGATGATCCGGGAGCATACCCGGTCTGTTACCCAGAGCAGTGGGAGGAGGTGGCAGGCGTCCTGGGTATCTGGCCCAGAAACCACTTCTGTGTTGGAGATCTCTCAGAAGGGAGGATGGCAGCAGAGCCATTCATATGGGTCTGGGGGGTGTGGGTGGGGCCGGAAGATCAAGAACCAGGGGAGTCTCGAAGAATCAGCCCAAGGTCTGAGATCCATTAGGCAGCCACTGTTCCTCAGGACGCTCGAGTCAGAGTAAGGGGAGACTGTGATGGGTCGTAAAGTATGGAAGCGATCCCCAAGTGTCTATGGCATGTATGGAGTGGGGAGGCGGCCCCCCGTTGATACACTGTCTTGGGGAGTGGCTAGTCCCACAGACAGAAGGAGCACCAGAGGCTGGAGACAGCATCTGCAGGTTCTCCTGGCCCATCTCAGAGCTTCTAAGTTATCTGTCAACTTGGCATTTAAGATATTGAAGATCACATTTGTTTCTGTTTTGTTCAAGCTCTCTCTTTAACCATGGCCTGGGATGACTTTTCAGCTTTTAAGAGGCTCAGCCCGTGGCCAACTTCTCTTGAGATGGCCCAGATTGGGGGTCAGTGAATTCCTCACTCCTGGCAGTATCTAGTTTTCCAGCTCCCTTCTCACATTTTTTGGTGTTGGGTTTTTTTTTTGTTTGTTTGTTTTTGTTTTTTTGTCTTTATGAGGTTATAAAACTGCACTGTCAAGACACTGTGTAGAGACGGAATGCCTTTTCTTCGGACCCATGTGTGTCATTCTGCCAGTAATATGCAAGCTTAACGGACTTAGGGGGTTAGCAGGTGTTGCGGGGTTCTTTCTGGGGTTCCCATCCACAGGAGAGAAAACAACAAAACAAAACAAAACAAAGAACAAAAAGAGCCCGGAAAAATATAAACCTTAGGCAGTTTGGTATCTCTTTGGGTTCTGGCCGGAAAGGAGCTGAGTTACCTGTAGGCTACCTCATGGTTCTATGAAAGGAGGCTCAGAATCAAGCAGATTCAGGTTTGAGTTTGGCACCAGCAGGTCACAAGCTATTCTTCCTTTCTGATCCTTCTTCACCCGTCAAATGAAAACAATGACTCTTCTTACTTCACAGGCTTGTTCTGAAGGTGAGACAGAATAATATATGGGTAGGATCTAGCAAACTGCCCAGTGCTTAGCAAAATGTTAGGGACCTTTCCCCCTCTGGTTCTAAGCTCAAGAAAGTACATAGATTTGGACATTTGTCCACGAGTCAAAGCAAATAAGCTACTTATTCAAGGCTTAGCAGCGTGCTCAAAGGTCAGCTAATCTCAGGCTGGAGATGGAGACCTTTAATTCTGAAGTGGGGTGGCACAGCTCGGTGTTCCCCATGCCAAACAAATGGGAGCCCCATGTGATCTTCTATGGGAAAAAAGGAAAGGCCACCAACTCACTGACCCACGAACCCGGGCTATTAGTGAACTCTCCATAGAGCATGTTTTAGAAATCCCAAATGCAGTCTGGGCTCAAAGAATTAAAGTCAACACCAGGGAAAGAAATTACTGATATTGAAACCGAATAATAATGGCACGATGTCAATAGTGCCTTACATTTGCATAACAGCCTACAGTTTGAAAAGCAGGTGACCTCATTTCATCCTTAGAACAATCCTATGAGATTGGTATTGACCATATTTCACAGTTCAGACTCTGAGGGCTTAAAAGACTTACCCTATTTCCCCCAGCGGGTGGAGGAAACAGG